ACCAACCATAAGAGGAAGAGTTAATGAATAGTCTCAGAAAAAGGGAGTGACAGTGTTAAGACAGGTAAGGAAGCCAAAGAAGCTCAGTTTTGAATAGCCCTGAGGATACAAATCTGAGATGTTAGGAGTCAAGGAGGAAGAGATCTGTGAATTTAAGACATAAGAAGAAGAACTTGGAATGAGAGTTCCAGTGTAGAGGGCTGTACACAGGGCAGTACAGAGCATTGCCAATTTTTGTGGGAAAAACCAAAACTATTTGGGTAGCACTTGAATAAATGAGTCTACAGAGGGGACCTGAACCCTGGTAAAATTCTAAACAGCTTTGGAAATTATAAATTCAGATATTGGAGTAACAATATTTATGAAAAATATTCTACAGTCGTATAAAAAAGGTGTAATAGTTCAAACAGGAATCAAAGCAAGGCAAGTACTTTTCCTTCCCTCATCAGCTGCTGCAACACTTGCCAGCTAAGGGATGAGAACATGAGGAAGAAGTCTTTGCTCCATGCCATATTTCTCCACATCTACCTCGCTGACAGGGTGCAATGAGGGCTCCCAAGGGGGCATCAGGGCAGGAACTGGCATCCAGAACCCCTCCCATTGTCCCCAGCCAGGAAGCAGGGAGGCTGGGGGTTATGTAGGGACAGCCCCAGCCCTGGGCGTCAGGCACCTCCCTGAGAAATAGGATGGGCCGAGGCCCTCAGGGCCCTGACATCTTCTCAACAACTTTCTGTTCCAGCTGTATGAGGACCACACAAATTGAACAACAGGGAAATGTTCACTAAACAACACCAAAAAAGGGCATGAAACATTTCCCAGATACACTGGAAGCATATACCATGTCTTTTCAGGAGGGTTGAGGACAAACAAATGCCATGTCATCGTTGACACTGTTCCAGGTGGTGCTGGTCAGTCATGATGAGGAGAACATCGCTCATGGAAGTTCAAATGGGCGACTCTATTTGGACCTGTCCTGGACACTCTTGGTATTTCCAGGCATGAGGGCCAGCTTCTTGTGTCCATTCAACCTGTTGTGAACACCGAGCCCAACCACAGAAGGAGTGCCACTGAATTCATCACAAGTAGGAGGCCGTAACCACATGTAAGGAAGGTCTTGGACTGTCATTTCCCATCCTGCAGTTTTCAAATCCAAACCTGTGACACGGGGGGAAGCTTGTGTGATTGTTCTGCAAGGCAGAGCTCAGAAGCTTTTCTTCTCAGAGCCTACCTGCAGCCAGTTCAATGCTCCTGGCCAAACTGGTGGGCACCACAAGCTGGGTTTTTTTGGTTTGGGTTGGGTTTTTTTCAGTTTGTCCCTCTCACTGGCAGCAGGGCGGTCTGAAATGGAAAGCAAACAAACATCCAACCCCTTTCGTAGCATCCAACCGTGTTGAGCAGGGAGCATGACACCACATCTGTGGGCATGTTTGTGTCCTAGGGCCTGCCACCTTTCAACACGGGGGTCACAGCAGGCTGGACAGGTGGGGACTAAGAAGAGAAAAGGACCAAGCTTTCTCCTTTGAAAACTGTAACATAGCATCAGTGAGGGTGTAGAATAGTTTGGGTTGGAAGGGGCCTTTAAAGGTCATCTAGTCCAACCCCCTCTGCAATGAGCAGGGAGATCTTCAACTAGATCAGGTTGCTCAGAGCTGATTCCAACCTGACATGGAATGTTTCCAGGGATGGGGCATTACCGCCTCTCTTGGCAACCTGTGCCTGTGTCCAAAGAGGTGGTAGATGCCCCGTCCCTGGAAACATTCCATGTCAGGTTGGAATCAGCTCTGAGCAACCTGATGGGGCACCCACAACTTCTCCGGGCAGCCTGTGCCAGTGTCTGACCATCTGTACTGAAAACAATTTCCTCTTTATGTCCAATCTAAATCAACCCTCTTTCAGTTTAAGGTCTCTTCCTTCCTTCTGCCTGCACCCCATGGAGTGAGGGCAAAGTGCTTTGACAGTGAATATAATGATTGGGTCAAAATTCCAGTTCCAGAATATTTAGGGCACGGGAAGGAGGGGAGGATTCTCTCCTATTGAACTAGTCCTGACTATTGCTGTTTGTGATGCATATCTAGGAAACAGGGAAATGCATGCCTAACAATCAGCAAAGAAATAAATTGACTGAAATTCTATGAATTTATAAATGGAATTAGTGACCACTGGCTTTGCTCTTGTGAATTGGGAGACTTGAAACACAAGGCAAGAGCGTTTGTTCTGCCCACAGAAGACATAGCAGGGGTTGGGCCTGTCCTCGTCTCTGAACACAATTTCTGAATTATTTAGTGTATGGCCTTTCTTCTCCAGCAATAGACCCACTCAGAGCTCATCTCGTCTGCTTTTACTTTCTTTTCTTTCATTCTTTCTTAAACAGATTTGCAATTGCTCCCATGCATTATTTATTGGAAATACTATGCTTTTATAACATAGCTGTGGGCAGAACAGAATCTGTAGGCACAAGTTTGAACCCCATATTTGGAATAATTGGCAGGAAGAAAAAAATAGGTTGTGGTTCAATACACAGGGTATGAGAATGTGAAAAAAAAAATTAAATACAGAATTGCCTCTGTTTCCCAATGAATTACTCTGTTTTGTATCATAGAAAACCCAAAAGTAATCTTCAGTAAAACTGTACCCTAGTTGCATTCTGTATTCTGACTTTATTTCTTCTTTTTTTTTTTTTTTTTCAGAAGCAGCCTATTTCTGTAGCATGTTAGAGAGTGATGCAATGAAGACTCTATCCCATCTTATTTCAAATACTCCATTATTCATTGAATGGTAGAATTTCCACCCTTCCTTCCCATATCTCTATTTTAGTTTACTTGAGAGAAATTTCAGTGCTATGAATGCCTGGTCAGATGGAACAGCTGCGTACCACAGCCTCCTACCAAGCCTCCGAGAAGAGAAGCAGTAGCAGAAGCAGGAGAAACACGAAAAGATCAAGACACCATTCACTTGACCCCCTGGTGCAGCAAAAAATACCAACTACATTGACATTATCAATGCAGTATGGGGAGGAACGTTTTTTCCCGAAATGGAGAACAAGCAGATTAAGGAGCCAGAGAACAATTTAACTTATTTTTAAAAATGAAGAACTTGGACAAATGGGTATAACCCTCGGGCAGCAGCATGGTGCACACCATAGTTCTCTTTTTTTTTTTTTTTATTCCTATCTACAGAGAATCCTGCCCTTTTTCCATTTATAGACTGGTTTCAGAAAAGTTCACACATGAACATACATTTTGCATGGGTGGTGGTGCATTTCTACTGCTAGATAGACTCTACAACAACTGCTGTAAATAAGCAGTAGCTTTTGGCTTAACCTGAAGCCTGACCGTAGCAACACATCTGACATGACATACCCACAAGCTGCACGAAGCTCCTGGAGGCTATTGATGCCAACCAGCTCTGGGGGTTAACTATGAGAGAGATGTGTATCACTGAAATACCTTGCAAAGTACAGTCTGTAGGACCCCCTGCAACACCTTCCAGCCTATCTGGGCTGGAGTCCTTGTTTTCATAGAATCATAGAATTTTTTAGGTTGGAAGGGACCTTTAAGATCATCTAGTCCAACCATCAATGTACTTCTGATAAAAAAAAACATCACTGAACCATGTCCCTAAGCATTATGTCTACCCATCTTTTAAATCCCTCCAGGGATGGTGCCTCAACCATTTCCCTGGGCAGCCCATTCCAATGCTTGAGAACGCTTTCAGTGTAAACATTTTTCCTAATATCCAATCTGGTGCAACTTGAGGCCATTTCCTCTTGTTCTATCACCTGTGACTTGGGAGAAGAGACCGACCCCCGCCTCTCTACAGCCTCCTTTCAGGTAGCTGTAGAGAGCAATAAGGTCTCTCCTCAGCCTTCTCTTCTCCAGGCTGAATAACCCCAGCTCCCTCAGCCTCTCCTCATAAGACTTATTCTCCAAATTCTTTTGTTTTGTTTCTTGTTCATCATCATCATCATCATCATCATCAAAGAAGGAAAACTGAAATATGCCCCTGTTTGGCCACCAGTGACCTGTCACTGACCAGAGAGTCCCTTTCACGTGCTGAACTTCATCCCCAGCAATGGTGGCTTGCCACACGGAGGCATCATCCGGAGATCATTGCTGGGTAAGCTGTTATCTCCCACAGATGTGTGGAAGTTCCCTGCGGTCCTAGGGAAGCACAGATGAATCACATTTCCTTCTTCATCCTCAGATAAAGGTGGCTGAGAGCAGCTCTGCCTGAACGCCGCGATGTGAGATTTACAGCTGCTTTCAGTTCTGCAGCCTTTTAGAAGGAAAAACCCAACCAATAACAAAGGTAAACACCGCCTTTGCTGGGCGTCTGCCTGGCTGCCATCAGCTGCTCTTACACAAGCCACTCTGGGAGCTGTTTCAGCAGCACATTTTTGCCTCTGGCATTTAAAGTTCAAGTGGTGCTGTCTTGTTAAACATTTTTCCCTTCTTTTAAGGGATTTTTTTACCCCCCCTCAGCCACAGAGGACTGGCTTTGCTTTACTTACAAAAGTTAAAACGTAGTAAATACCTCGGCGTAAAGAATTTTATAGATTTTCACCCCAAGGAAGGTGTTTTGACTGGTCATATTTCAACGAGACATTAAAAAAACATGCTTGTGTGCATATTTTTTTTTTTTAAATTGCTGTTTTTACCATCGGCGCAACAATGTAGTGAAAGCTGATGCTACAGAGATTGGTTTTGTACTTTCTGGCGTCAGACTGGCAGAAAAATTGTCAGTTGTCTTGTTGCTCATGTTTAAACCCACACCCTTGAGCTGTGATTCAGCAAATTCCCAGAGTAACTCTGGTCTGAAACCCGGGTTCCTCCTTGTCCTGTCCTGCTGGGGGTGGATTTCCCCTAGAGAAGCCAATGAACAAAAGCTCATTTATTTCTGTATGCAAGGAGGAGGAGGAGAAGGAGGAGGAAACTTGCTACACCGTCTCTCCACCTCTTCCTGCAGAGTGTTAGCTCTCTTTTGCACCGATCACTTCAGGTCGCTAATGGAAATGGAAGTTAGCGGCGGCGGAGCTGGGATATAGGGATTGTTGTTTCCAGCGGCGCTCCCTGGCTCTGCTCCACACCTCATAAATAATGGCTCTCACCTCATTTTAGCTACAAAAAGAAGCAAAAGCAAGCTGCCTGTGTCTGTCTTCAGCAAATCTAAGGTGCCCTCTTGGAGAGGCAGAGCTGAGTACCCTGTTATTAACTGGCATTATTGAGGAAATACTCTCACTTTCTTTTTTTTTTTGGCTGCAATATTTTTTTGCCACGGTTGCGACAGCATCTTGATGGGGAAGCTGATCTCCAAAGGCCAGCGCAAAAGAGATGCTCGAGTCGTCATGCTGGGGCTCGACTTTGCCGGCAAATCCACCCTTCTCTACAAACTGAAGAGCGGCCGGGCTGTGGAGACCTGCCCGACGGTGGGCTTCAACGTGGAGTCCCTGAAAACACCCTGTCGCGTATCCTTCAACCTCTGGGACGTCGGCGGACAAAGCAGCCTGCGGGCAAGCTGGGCCAGCTACCTGGAGGACACCAGCACCCTCATCTTTGTGCTCGACAGCACGGACACGGCCCGGCTGCCTGAAGCAGCAGCAGCGCTGGAGGAAGTGCTGAGCCACCCCAGCATGGCTGGTGTCCCCGTCCTCCTCCTGGCCAACAAGCAGGAGGTGCCGGGTGCGCTGGATCCCACCGAGCTGGGGGAAAGGCTGCAGGGGGGGAGGCTGGTGGAGCGACGCTGGGTGCTCCAGGGGTGCAGTGCCCACACCGGGCAGGGCCTGCAGGAAGCCCTGGCTGTCCTGGGGGAGCTGCTGCGGGGTCTGGAGCAGAGCTCCCCGTCCCAAGAGCAGCCCCTCGCAGGGCCAGAGGGGAGGAGGCAAGCCCCAGGGCAAACCTGAACCACGAGCGGACCCTTCCCACTGGTTTGCTGCAGAGGATCCCAGCGTCCAGGTGCCCCCTGAAATGAGCACTGGGCACTAGCCGTGCTGAAAAACAGCCAGCCACCTGCCACTGAAACCCAGCAGGAAGACTTGTGAGCAAAACTCCCACCGTGGAGCGTTTTTGGCTCCATCTCTTGGACTCTCATCACCAGCCGCAGCTTGTCCCGCGTCCACCAGGCTCTGCTCACCCATTGCGTGTGTGTCCAGCGCTTCAGGAGGGATGCTTTTTGCCAGAGCAATATGAATTATACCAGAGATGCACATTTATATACAATATAAATTATACCAGAGATGCACACACAGGACAGAGGGGGTTATTTTCTTTCCACAGCTCCCAGCCCCGATGCAGCTGTCCCAATGGGGTGATCGCCACAGCACGGAGGGGTTTGAACGTGCCCCATTCTGCTTCTCGCTCAGCTGGAATCACACTTTCATCAGCTGGAAAAGCAGCAGCTGCTAAAAGGGAATGGCTGAACTGGAGCAGCGTAAGCACAGGACTTCAAACAGCCGACAGCTAATTGGTTTTAATGCGGCATCTACGGGTATAGTCTTCAAGTCATGGATGTGAGTCAGGATTGGATGGCTTAAAGCCATTCCGGGATGTGTGTATATTTATTTCTGAATTTCTTGTTCTGGGTCTGTCTTTTCCGTTTGTTATTTTCATCAAATATTGATTTCATGAAAACAGTACCTCATTTTCCATGGATTATATACAAAGGAAAGAAATCTGACGTCTAGATGCTTGGAAACATGTCTGCACGGCCAGTCAACTTCTAAATATCCTCATGGTGGGCTGAACAGCCAAGACGAAGCCCTGATTCTCCAACTTTTTGAAACTGGATGAGGCCACTCCACGGGCAATGACTGGTAACCATAGGCACCTGTGGGCACAGGCAGGTTGGTAACCAAAGGGGTCTCCACACCCAGCTGGGTCCAGGGCAGTCAAAATGCCCCTGGTAGTTCACAACAGGGCTGGGTCCGTTGTTGCGGTGATGGTCTCTGTCTGATCCTGCTGAACCCACTGTTGGAAAGACCTGTATAATGTGTGCCTGAGGGCTCCCTGTACTCAAAATTCTGTTATTGAGAATTAAAATTAAGAAATTTCATAGAAGTTCCTACTTTATTATTAAATGAATGAAGGTGTTGGAGAAAGGGGAGAGAAAGGACACAAAATTTTCAGGCAGCAGAAGTCAGCTGCTTTCAAGGAAGAACTTATTCATACTAGAAACACCAAGGAGAAATCTACGGTGAAATCCTCTTCTGTTCATACCAGAGAATTTTACAGTTGTTAAAGAATTAATCATCCAGCTGTTAGTGGTACTGTTATTAGCCTCATTTCATAGAAGGCAGCAGCTGGAAAACAAGGTTTAAACAGTCATGAAGAAACAGAATCTGACATTTATAGGAAGGTCTCAATAAAATAAATCCTCCCCAGTGGAAAAAGTCACATTTTTTAGCTGTGTTAATATATATGAACTATTATAAGCTATAAAATAGCATTCCAGTGTTGATCTGGCCTAAGTGATCATGGTTGTCATTACATTTGTATAGCACTGAATTGTATAATGAATTATATGTGCGCATGGTAAGGAGGGCAAAATCATATCTCTAAATCTTTGCAGTTAACATAAGCAGGTTGATCTGCCTTTGGCTCGTTGTAGGTGGTCATCGTTTTCTTCTAAAACACAAGTCTCCACTGCACGTGTTGGGTATTTGACTGTCAGAGGTGGACCAAGCAGTTCTTAAGAGACAGCACATGTGCTAGCACATAGACAGAGATGAACAAACTCAGGTCATCTATGCACCCTGGTCACCAGTACATGAAAAAGCCACATCTTCTCGGGAGCCCATCCAGCTGTTTTGAACACCAGTCCTAGAGGCACAACGCAAAAGGCTCTGTGTTGTGTAACCGTCCCAAAAAAATTCTCTTCATTGAGTTTGCTGGTGTTTTGGTCTTGCATTTTGTGTGATACAAAGCCAAGTATTGTCCATTAGGGTAGGGGATCAGCAATAGTTTAAACTCAACACAGACTGAAGAGTTGTCCTGATGATATTTCAGTCCTACTTGGCTCTTGATTGTGTGCTTTTCACTCTACAGGACTGTCTGCTGGTGGTTAAAAAGAGCACTGAAACCTTCCCATTTCCCAGTGAGTGTTTTATAAGCCCTTTAAAGAGAAAAAATAGGCTCCTCTGGCAGCAAATAGAGGTAACCACCAGCCTTTTGTAGATATCGCCAATTAAGAATTAAAATAACAAGGTAGGAGGTGGAGAAGAAGGGGTTTTTCTTGGCAGTGGCAACCCTGAATGACTGAAACCGATGAAGCAACATCCCCATTACTGAAAATATTCTCACTTCCCTTGAAGCAGTAATTTCGCAAAATACCCCAGCTCATGGGGCATCATGTGATTTAGCATCCTTGTTTTCTGGAATAAGGCTTTTCTAGATGCTCAGTCACATTACTCAGCTCATTTATGCCATTGTTAGAGACTGCAAAAACGATGCTGGGTGAAAATGTTGGAAACAGCAACATGCAGTTTACTTCTAATTATTTTCTCTTTTCTCCTGTGTTGTAAAACACGTTAAAACAAGTCAATCTAATGAGCCCTGCACTGCTCTCATCAGATGCTTGCAGGATGCTCACCCAACGGCGCTTAAATGCTTCAGTGTCAAAACTCCTGCCCTGTCCAAAGGGAGCAGTGTGGAGGTTTGCAGGAAGAAGCCAGCTCTAGGGAGGGAAGTTTGTTGCCTCTTTTTTTCTTGGTGATTCTGCAGGAGAGCCACTGCCACACAGAGCAGTGTTAATCCCCTGAACATCTGCACTTACGTGTTCCAGCCAGGAGGGAACCTTCAAACTTAGAGTTTCCATCTTCCTAGGTGTGTGATAGGTGTCACAGCCTCTGTGCTGATTTCTAAAATAACACACTTCTCTCTTAGCAGTAGGCAAAAGGAAAAGCCTTGGAACACTTTCTTGTTTCATCTTCCTCACAAATATGAATTATCTTTTGGGGTATTGGTCCCAGAGCCCACCCTAGTTGCTCAAGATTCATTTTTATTAGCAGCTTTTCATAGAATAGAATCATAGAATGGTTAGAGTTGGAAGGGACCTTAAAGACCATCAAGTTCCAGCCCCCCTGCCATGGGCAGGGACACCTCCCACTAGAGCAGGTCGCTCAAAGCCCCATCCAGCCTGGCCTTGAACACCTCCAGGGATGGGGCATCCACAACTTCCCTGGGCAACCTGTTCCAGTGTCTCACCACCCTCACTGTAAAGAATTTCTTTCTGGTATCTAATCTAAATCTCCCCTCTTCCAATTTAAAATCGTTACCCCTTGTCCTGTCACTACACTCCCTGACAAAGAGTCCCTCTCCAGCTCTCCTGTAGACTCCCTTCAGTAATTGAAAGGCTGCTATGAGGTCTCCCCAGAGCCTTCTCTTCTCCAGGCTGAACAACCCCAGCTCTCTGTCTTCATGGAAGAGGTGCTCCATCCCTCTGATCATCTTCTTGGCCCTTCTCTGGACCTGTTCCAACAGGTCCATGTCCTTTCTATGTTGAGGACTCCAGAGCTGGACACAGTACTCCAGGTAAGAGTTAAGTGGTGGGAATGGTGGGAACATTAAGTCTATCTGCTTACTATCCCTGATATTGGCTGTCTCAAAGCCAAAAGGAGATGTTTGGAACAGGAGGCTGTTTGCTTTTCATTTCCTTTTAGTTTTTTTTCAGCAACAAGTATTTATTTGGCCCTCTTTATAAAAAGACTTGATCAGTATTTATTTGTTAATGTGGGCTGCTTGAATCTGGTGGTTATGAGCTAAATGTATTGGCAAAAGTGGTCAACTCAGGACAGCAAGGTTTGGAAGGGATATCTGGTACGATACCCTGCTTGAATCAGGTTACCCAAGGCCTGGTGCAGCAGTTTTGAATATCTCCAAGGATGGAGCTTCAACAACCCAACACCTTTAGAGGCACTCTGGTATGTGTTGACCTTTACAGTAACGTCACCGTAATCCGTAATTGTGCATTGATCTTCCCAGTCATCACTCCACTGGGAAGATCTCTACTGGTAAGTATCTGCCCTTGCTTGGAGCTGTGAGAGCAGCCTCCTTGTGCGGGGCCATCAGCTCCTCCAGCCCTGGGACCTCCCATCCCTTCTGTGGGGATCGCTGCAGCAGGAGCTGCCTCCGGGTCCTGCTGCCTCTTTTGCGGACACTGAGACACTTCAGTCATCTTTCACACTATTTATGAAAGGACACAGCTAATTACTCACTGACTTACTAACCTTTATGTAGGACTGGTTTTCAAAGCAGCTTCCACAACCCCTTTTCATGACTATCAACCCAGCGCAGATTTCTTTTTTAATTTCTGACAAGGAGTTTTCCATCTGCCCCCATAGAAAAAGAAAGCAACAAGCTGGAAAAAAAACCAGCCAATGTTAAAAACCAGCACAGGAAAAACGAGTCACCTTTTCCCCTTCTCTTCGCCAGTGCAGAAAGGATGAGTCACCTTTTCCCCCGTCTCTTCACAACTTCCATATTTCAGTCAATCATAGAATCATAGAATGGCTCGGGTTGGAAGGGACCTTAGAGATCATCAAGTTCCACCCCTTGCTATGGGCAGGGACACCTCCACTAGAGCAGGTTGCTCAAAGCCCCATCCAGCCTGGCCTTGAACACTTCCAGGGATGGGGCAGCCACAGCTTCTCTGGGCAACCTGTTGCAGTGCCTCACCACCCTCACAGTAAAGAATTTCTTCCTGATATCTGGTCTAAATCTGTCCTCTTTCAGTTTAAAACCGTTACCCCTCATCCTATCATCTATGACACACAACGGTTTCTACTTGTGCATTACCTGATTTCTGCTCTTGGCACTGATTCTTTGTTTTCTGGTGGACCTACACAGCGTTTGCCCCACAGTTACTGATGGGGCTTCTCTGATGGGTTTCACCAAGGTCTTGCTGAGGGACCTGAGACCAGAGGGGAACCAGGAGATCCCAGGGCTGCAGGGTGAGGGCATGAACGGCTGCCAATGGACTATTTAAAGAGGGAACAGGCAGCCACGGGGCACGTGAGAGGGAGCTGCGACCGGCTGTAACGCCGGGAGAGGAGTGTCGGGGCAGTAGCCAGAGACCTGGGAAAGGCCTGGGAGTAAAAAAAGGTCAATAAGAATTTTTTAAAAAGCTAAGAAGAGCTACAACATAAAAACAGACTGCAAAAGCCCCCTTTTGTTAGGAGACAGGCTGTATAATGCCTCTGAATGTCTTAATTATCGCTTTAGTACATCTAATGGCTGTAAATTAATTTCCTCCTCTTAAAGAAACCCTGAAATACCACCTAAAAGTTTCACCACACGTAACTCACCAAGAAAAAACAGGGAGTAAAACCATGTGTGATGCCACCTCTTAAAAAAATTAATATCCTTGCCAAATGGTATTAAAAAACAGTCAGGCAATTATGACTAAGACAAATGACAAACTGCAGTGACATTACAGCCTTCAGAGGGTTAATTAACGGGCCTTCGTCGAAACTTTCCAATATTTGATATTTTTTTTTGTGATGCGTTTGCTTGAGTCACAGCCCTGAGATCACTGATGTCCTTAAAAACACCAGGTGAAGGCTGGTGTTTGGGTTAGGACCTCAGCGATGCATCCATGGCTGGGAGAACATCATCCCCCCCACCTCATATTTCACACAATGTGATTTGTATAAAATTCCCGAAAAAAGGGAAGAAAAAAAAGAGAAAAATTCTCCAGCTGCCGTGAAAGGTGATGTGTGAAGGTCCTGGACCTGGCAAGTGCGTCCCCCTCTGTCCATGTCCCTGCCTGACTCTGTGTGGTCAGACCAGAAGAGCAAACCTCTGCTCCGACCCAATCTGACGTCTGTCACCTCCAAAGCTCCAGTGCCTTAAATCAGTCCAGCACCATCATCATCATCATCTTGTCTGTTAATTGCTATAAGAAACAATCTCCCTGGAGCTCCCAGGGCTGATGAACTGTTCTTAAATTCTCCCTTAGGCCTCAGATTTTTATTAATTT